GAAAAAAGCGGTTCATAATTCAGCATTTTAAAGCATGAGTTCTTCTATATAATTCCTAGGAGCGGTTATATTACCGTTTAAATTCTTGTTTCAGATAACACGAAATGCGATCTTTTTGTCTCTCATTTGCTGCAAAGATAATTTAGGAATGGAGAATGCAAAGTGTTTTGATTTTTTGAAAGAAATTGTTTACAATGGAAGCGAATGGGTCGTAAATGCTTACAGCTATAAAAATTTGCTAAACAGAACGTCAGCTCTTCAGATTCATCTTTTTAGATGTTACTGTCATTTCTTTGATGTGAGGGTTTGGTTTAGTAAAGTGGAAAATGGCGCATTGTAAAATCGAAATTTTTTCTGTTGCAGGATAAGCTCTACTAAATTGGTAGTCGTTGCTTCATATTTACGGTATTTGGCTGGATTCTGCAAGTTACAGTGTCGTGATAGCGGAGATTGGTCAAGATGCCATCATTTGCTTCTCCCAACAATGCGTACTTTCTGCGACTTTTTAAAGAGGTACCAAATTATTTATTTCTAGTTTGTCATGCTTCTTTCCTGCTTGATTTTATGCAGCTACAGATACCTCTACTATCACAGTTGGAATATGATTAGGCCAGGTTACGAAGCATTTTGATTTTTCCTTTCAGTTTTCGTGGATCTTCTGTGAGCTACGATTGTTCAGCAAATTGATCATTGTTGCTGCCAAGAATTTTTATCACTTTTTGATTGGTTAATCTTCTTAATAGGAAAAACACGAAATTTCTTATCTAAGGGACCTTTACTAGAATTTTTTAAAATTATTGAGTTCACAACTTTTTTTAATGTAAGTTGTTTTCTTGCTTGACACAAATGAAATTGTGGTAAAATATGGGAGTACAGTCCTTCTTTTCGTGTGAAACTTTTTAAGTGCTGAGTACAGTCACGGCAAAAAACGTGTTTGATTGTAGGTGTGCCAAACGTTTGGCAACGGTCGACTTTGCTTGAATCAGTTATAGTGGTTATGTTCAGGAAATTACGCATTTTAATTACATTTTTAAGTGAGGGTTATGTAAACGTGGACAAAGGTCATTGCAGAAGTGCAGGAAGCAAAGAATGTCTGGTGATTATGGTCTTGAAAAAAATTATAAATTGGGGAAAAATTATGGTATAGTCTGATAGAGTTTTGGTCAGGCGTTCAAGACAAAACTAATTTTCAGCCACATCAATTAACTTTTTTATTAAAGCATTTCTCGAAGTCTCAAAGTTGCTTTAACAGTTATTGTTTTACATGAAAGAAATATTTGGTACTGTTTTAATTGCAGATTCGTCATCTCTTGCTCTTCGAAGGATATGGCTGAGGACGATATAAAAAATAATAATTTTGCTCTGATTCAATTATTGACCCTGATTCCACTTTATGACGGAGACGATGTTCCTGGGAGGTATTACTTTGAAGTTCCAGTTCTTCTGACTTTTAAAGTATTTCAAAATAATTACTCAGTTGCCTATTCAAGACGAGCGTGGCGTGAGCTACTTGAATTCATTTTGGTCAAATATCAAATTGGCTTCTCGCAAAAACTTATAGATTACGTTGTAAAAACGTTGTACGAACATTTCTGGCCGACAATGAATGACGATGATGTACGTACGGACTCTTGTCTTTTATTTTCATCTACTCATGAACTGCTTTAGCACTGTTAAATAAATCTTTCAGGATGCAATATCCTTTATATGTGACGTAACAAGTTCTATAGTGCACCATAGTTACAACCCTTATGCTACACTTCTGGGGAGTAATGAAACCATCGCACTGAATGCGTCTAATACCAGTGCTTTTCTTGAGGCTTCTACTATTCAGGTTTTTAGGACGTTTTTATAAGTATTTTCATTTTCTTATTTTTTTCTTGTAGGAAATCTTAGAATTGGACTGTTTAGGTGGATGAGAAGGCACTGTTGCGTTGTGTGACTATTGTGAACTCGATGATGAGGACTAGCCGACACAGAAAGATGAATTCTTTAATATCTGGTCTTCTTGAGAACGTGGTACGTTTTGATTTTTGTGTTTGCTTTGCTAAAATAAGGTACTATTTTGGTATTGACATGGCGAATTTCGAAAGTTAGAGGGCATGTGTGGGACGAAGTCCGTAAAATTTTGAAAACTATTAGTTCAGAAACTGTTAAGTTTTTGTGAAGTATTAAATTATGAAGTCGGTTGTAAATACCTTCCCACGGAGAACTGAATTTGAATTGCTGCCATGCGATCGTTTATTGCTTTTCAGATTGAAAAAGGTTTGATTAGCGAGATACCTGATTGTCGGTCTCTAGCTTTTGAAACTATGGGGATAATGGGAGTTTTTGACAAAGAATTTGCTCGTCAAAGAACTGTTCTTGTCAAAGACACTCTGGAACTTGTTGATAGTCTTAAGGTAAGGGCCAAAGGAAATGATATTATTAGTTAGTTATTTGGTTTTTTCTAGAAATTTTCGGGGAGCAGTATTTGAACAACTTTGTGCATGTTTCGTTTTTTAAATTTTTATGCCTCTTTCAAAAAAAATGCAGGTATAGGAATATTTTAGTGCTCATGACTGTTTTTTAGCAGGGGAGAAGCGAAAATGATTCATACAATGATAGTGATCTTGTTGAGTTCACTTCCTTCAGTTTATATAAAAGTTTTTCTGGATTTTAGATGAGTGCTCTAAATGTGTTGGGGAACTTTTGCCTCGTTTACGGTTTCGATGATGTTTCGAAATGGTTTCGTGGGATCAGTGACTTTGGTGACCCATCGAACAGTCTTCTACAAGCCTTTCATAATCATATATGGGAAACTGTAATAAGTTTGCGCTTGTCACTTATGTCAAATTGTCAACTGAACAAGATAATTTGTTTCTGCAAACTATTCTGAACGGTTGCACCTACTCTCAGTGGTCATATTTTTCGCTTTTAGGAAGCCTCGGCCAGCTATGTTGCTTGCAAGTGCCTCTGTCAGCTCATTCTTACACGTAATATACGAAATCATAAGTGGACTTTATGTCAACTGCTAATGAAACTTTTTCATTCAGATACAGATGATTGGACGAGATCTTGTATTAATTGTTTTCTTGATTGTTATTCCAGTAGTGCATGGTAAAGGTTTGCTTAAGATGCTTCTTTCCTGTTAGTGTAGATGCTGCTTCTGGATTTTGCTTGGTGTATTTATTTATTTTATATGGTTACTCATAGAAAATTGGTAGACTTTAAAAGAAGACAGAGAGTTGAAATAATGGACTTTCAGGGAAAACCAGCTTGCGCTAGTTGGTTGCTTCAAAGAAATTTTTGATGCTGAAGTTGAGACAGGTTCTCCTTCCACATTAAACATTGACAAAAGTGAGGTTGCGTCACGAATAATAGCAGCAACTAGACTGGCAACTTTAAAACATGCTGCGGATGAAGTTGTAAGGATTACAGTTTGAAAAAAAAGGGTATTACTACGAACTCGGCAGTTTTTACCACCTTTGAC